CAAAAATCTTCTTCTCAAGACCCAGATATGGTAGAATCAAATACTCTTCATATATGGAAGGATCTTAAGGTGCTTTACCAAAATTGTGAATTTCTTGACCCTGGGGTCTCACGTTTTCCCCTGGGAAGGGGGTAAACTTTACTATAGTTTATATAGGGAAATCACATTTTGGACCAACATTTGTTTAATTTCCATTGGAAGTAATTCAATTTGGGTTAGCATTATCAGTATTAGGTAGCAGTTTGATAGTATGCACATATGAGCCCTGACTGACCCCCAGGGGCTGATGGGTGGGGCCAAAAAGGGTTGAATTGACTGAAATTTCAAAAATCTTCTTCTCAAGACCCAGATATGGTAGAATCAAATACTCTTCATAGATGGAAGGGTCTTAAGGTGCTTTACCGAAATTGTGAATTTCTTGACCCTGGGGTCTCACGTTTCCCCCTGGGGAGGGGGTAAACTTTACTATAGTTTATATAGGGAAATCACATTTTGGACCAACATTTGTTTAATTTCCATTGGAAGTAATTCAATTTGGGTTAGCATTATCAGTATTAGGTAGCAGTTTGATAATAAGCACATATCAGCCCTGACTGACCCCCAGGGGCTGATGGGTGGTGCCAAAAAGGGTCGAATTGACTGAAATTTCAAACATCTTCTTTTCAAGACCCAGATATGGTAGAATCAAATACTCTTCATAGATGGAAGGGTCTTAACGTTTATGACCCTAGGCTCTCACGTTTACCCCCTGGGGAAGGAGGGGGGCAAATTTATTATGGTTTATAATGGCAAATGATACTTTGAATATAACATGTTAATAACTTGATTGGAATTATAACCTTGAGTTGACAGTTTGATACTTTGAAAATTTTGAGCCAGCCCTACCCCCAAGGGCTGAAGGGTGGGGCTCAAAGGAGTCAGTGTGCTAAAATTTCTTCATTTTCCTTGTTGAGAATCAGAGGTGTTAGTTTCAAATACTTTTTAGTCTGAAATCTGTATGCTAGATATTGAATAAGGTGGTTTTATTGTTATTTGTCACTTTGAATAATATTTCTATTCATGTTAAACACAAAATCAACTCTCTGTATAAATATACCAGGTGACCGTTAAGGCCCATGGGCTTCTTGTTTAAGATTTAATTGAGTTTTACGAGTTTTTTTTTATCATAATTCAGTTTTGGTATTTTATGTAAATCAATGTGAAAATCAATTCCTAATACAATAAACTTATGGTTCCCCCAATGCAAGTTCCACTCTGGAAAAAAAGCATTCTCACAGTATTTTTTGCTTCCTATCCAAATTACTTCAGTTTTAGTTGTGTTTATTTTCAATCCCGAAATTTTGGCAAATGTGTCTAGTCCCCCTAATGTTTCCCTTAAAGAGTTTTTTGATCCGTCAAGAATAACTGAAGTATCATCAGCATATTGAGATAGTAATATTGGTGTATTTTCTATATTTATTCCTTTAAGGTGGCTCCACACTTTCGCAATTAACCAGCAAAATTCGTTGAAACTTTCATATAATGGTTATGCAACTATGTAGAGGTAATTTTATGAAAATATAAACATTCCGATAGTTTGGGGATTTTTTTGGAAAAAATACCAAAAAATTGAATTTTCGCCACTTTTAATATTTTCCGGTTTTTTTGTGTGTGGCATTGTTCGGAACAATAAAAACAATAAAAAATGAAAAGAAGCATTTATAATTAATCCTACAAATATTTCATTTATCGCAAAATATGTAACACATGTTACACAAAGTGTTTTTTATTGAATTTGAACGGATAAAAGTGATTATCTACAAGCTAAAAGCAAACAGGACACACAGATCTATACATATAGAGTGGGAAATTGAACAAAATATACACAATGGCTTTATAATTAATTTATTTTACATTTTACAATCACTTTGATCCGGGTGAGAGTTATCTTCCTTGAAAAAAATCGGAACTTTTTGCAGAGGGATGACATTTACACAATGACAGTTGTCTCTGTTTACATATAACAAATGATGGAAATAAATCAAAAATATGATATCAAAATTATCAATTTATTGTTCTTTAATGGAACCAAATTACCCTCAGTCATGTACACTTTGGACATCATTCCACAGTCCGCTAACTCACGGTATATTTATAATTACATGTCAGG